TCACTGACAAGTTACGCAAAAAAAAAAAAGAATAGCAGACGATATAATCGTGTGATTATGAAATTGAAAAAAACGAAAATGAAAGATGTTTGCATAGCTTCTCAGTGAACTACGGCTCTGTGTAGTAAATGCTGCTCCATCAGAACGCACGTGAAAATACCACATTTAATAACATGTTTTTATTCCAAACTCACTTCATATCATCAGTCGAGTGTTTGAAATAAATCCTTCTGAGATGATGTGGCTTCTTACACTGAATAATATTATTATATACTTTATCATATTAAACATTATAATAAGATGAACTCAGATAAACCATAATCAGAACGCACGTGAAAATACCACATTTAATAACATGTTTTTATTCCAAACTCACTTCATATCATCAGTCGAGTGTTTGAAATAAATCCTTCTGAGATGATGTGGCTTCTTACACAGAATAATATTATTATATACTTTATCATATTAAACATTCTAATAAGATGAACTCAGATAAACCATATATTGCTGTAGTCGTGTGTTTATTAGTCACGTTGAATCAATGAAAGCAGTTAAATCTTCTGTTTATTCAGCAACCACTATAGGGCTTCCCTGGATTTCTTCTGCGCGAGAGCGCCCTCTGGCCTTCGATTGGAGATTTACTACTGATCACAGAAAGATGCGCATGACAGTCGCAGCTTTTCACCGTGTCCTAATTACACGCGTCGCGACAAGATTCCAGTGACAATCAATTTGGGTGTCAACACCAAACGCGACAGAATCAATCAAATGTCACAGCCTATCAGAAGCGTGTGTGGGCGGAGCCTCTCTGGAAGCGCACTGCACTCGCAACGAAATGGATAAGCTTATAAACTAATTCATAAATATGAAACCTTTTTAACATCATTAAATGTACATACTGACTGACTGATACCATCTTTGACATGGAATAGACTCGTTGGTTGGTTCGCAGTGAGTTCACGGTTTTAACGGACATATTTGCTTTAATTTATTTTCAAGATCTGAGAACTGTTGTTGCTTTCAGTACGGCTATAAGGTCACGCAAAATGATATTTAAACTCATATTAGACACGTTTAACTTTGAATAAAGCACATAATCACCTGAGATTATCTACTGTCATGTTGTTGTTCCAGCCGCGACGTCGCGGAAATAGAAACCGTTTATAAATTTGAAATTCTGTGTTTCGCCGTCGCGGCTAGTTAGAACAAAAACTCAGATTAACATGGAAAAGATACCTTATAAAACGGAGAGTTCCGGTCCTTGATTCTGATTGGCTGAGCCACGTTCTAAATTACTCTACAAAGTAACATACACCTTTGTTTACATTTGTGTGTTTCTCGGCAACCACTTTGTTGCAACCACAACTGTTTCTGAGGAGCTACATTGTTTGGTGGAAGAATACTGTTTTTATTAATATCATTACACTTTATTTGCTCTGTTTTATTTTGTGAAACCTTACTACGTATATGGAATAACCGTTTTATAAAAGCAATAAGCCCCGCTTCGCGTCGTGCCTAACAACGCCCCTTAGCTGTTATAAATTCACTGTAAACCACGGCTTCACGGGGCTTATTGCTTTATTTTATCGCGTGTCACGGCGTCGCATCGCGTGTAGTTAGGACAGGGTGTTTGCCTAATTGCGATTGCGATTTTATTGCGACTTATCGTGCAGCCCTAGTCAGAGCGTTTCCCATCATGCAGCGCAGCTTCATGTCTTACCAGTCTGGTGCTGGCGAACTCTCGGTCCATGTGATCGGCGATGCTCTGCAGTCTGAGCAGCTGAGCGTCCATCTCTGAGAGCCGCGCTGAGATCTGACTCCTGGACATCAGCATCCGGTCCAGAGCGCGCGGAGGAGGCGACCTAACACCCGTCAGGACGCTCAGCGTCACGGGGTCTCCACCGAGAACGGCTTCAGGAGACAAACACACTACTGAGGGGCCTGCAGGAAGACCAGAGCAGTCAGTTTAGATCGGGAACTAGATTCAGGATGGTCTGACTGACAGGTTGTTACAATCACTAACAACAGAGTAATATTTCTGTCGACTGATATTTGACCATTTTGAGATCTGCACTGGTCGTTAAGCAAATGTGACCCTGGACCACAAAACCAGTCATAAGGATCAATTTTTCGAAATTTGTCATTCATTCAATCATTAACCAATCGTCAAAACCATTTGGCAATCTCTGCACTGTGTACCTGGATTCCCTCCAGCCAGATTCTCAGTGAAGGGCTCAGTGATGTTAGGGGCGGGGCTTAAGTCAGGTTTGTGGGCGGGGTTTACAACAGACGCCGCTAGTAGGTGGAGCTGAGCCGATGAGGGCAGACTCCGAAGCAGAGAGTCGTCTGTCAGATCGATCACGTTGATGAACCGTCGTCCCTCTGGACTCTACAATAACAGAGAGACGATCCAAACTCAGTCTGAAACCGTTCAAGCATTATTAGATTCGAATATGGTTTTTATTGCAGCGTTTCCCTACAAGATCTACGTCAGACTCCGCAGGGCTTCTGTTCTCCGGATCTAATGATGTTTCCTTAGAGTAGCGAAGATTCAAGAAAACATCTGGAGGAACGACAGGAGCAACATCTATCAGCCCTCCTCCAGCTGTGGAGAAACACATCAGACATACAGCAAAGACATACACAAACAATGAGCTGCATAATAATGTAAATAACAAAATATTCTTCATGATTTTCTGTCGCTGATTTTTTTTCATCATCCGATAGTATGAATCAGTGTTATTTTAGTATCATTGATATTATAGTATTTATTAATATTTGTTATTTGTTTATCATGTTCCATTTTCATTTAAATTTACAGTTTTAGTAAATTTGTTGTTTTTATAATTTTTAATGTCTATATAGCTCTTATTTTTATTTCAGTTTCAGTTTTTTCAGTACTTCACATTTAAATATAAAAAAATTTCATTAAATAATTCAAATAATATTTTAGTTAACATCTATTTAATTACAAGTAACAATGTTTTTTTTTTTGCTTTAATGGAATTTGTTGTAGTCCTAATTTTAGTTTCATTGATATTATAGTATTTATTAATATTTTTTTATTTGTTTATCATGCTCCATTTTCATTTAAATTTAAAGTTTTAGTAAATTTATTGTTTTTATTATTTTTTATTTTTTAATGTCTATATAGCTCTTATTTTTATTTTTATTTCAGTTTCAGTTTTTTCAGTAATTCAAATTTAAATAATATAAACAATTTGTAATTAAATAATTTAAATAATATTTTAGTTAACATCTATTTTATTACAAGAAAATGTGTGATTTTTTTTAAATTTTTTTTTTATGGAATTTGTTGTTATTTTAGTTAACATCTATTTTATTACAAGAAAATGTGTGATTTTTTTTTATTTTTTTTTTAATGGAATTTGTTGTAGTCCTAATTTTAGTTTTCTTTAATGATAATATTTTGCATAATATTTTCCAGCAAAAATAAATGAACTATATATATATATATATATATATATATGTGTGTGTGTGTGTGTGTGTGTGTGTGTGTGTGTGTGTGTGTGATTTTTATGTTTATTTTTTCTGGGAAATTATGCTAAATTATCATTCTTGTCCATAATTTTCTGTCGCTGATTTTTTTCTTTAGTAGAGACCATCTTTATTTCTTTCATTTAATTTGCTTACGACGCTTATAGAAAAAAAAACTTTCTAATGCAACAATGTTTAAAAAAAGTTATGTTATTGAAAGTATATTTACTAGCCTAAAGTAAAACTTGATTTTAATTTTGACGCATCTCAAGTGCTCATTTTGGACCCAGATTCATCTCATGAACTCACGAGCAGATGGCATGCTGGGAGATGAAGGAAGCTGGACGGAAACGGCTTCATCTGTGACGGGGCGAGACGGTTCTGGAGGAAACAGAGGCAGAAGTTACAGCAGTGAAGTTAAAGTGTGTGATCTCAGCGATCGGACCACATACCAGTGTTTGTACAGGCGTCCTGGATTTCAGGAGCTCTCTTCTGCGTTGAGGCGAAGGCATGCAGCTCAGCCGAGGTGACGCAAGCCTTATCCAACAACCGCTGTCCCGACAACTCGGAGTCAAAGCAGCCTGAGCAGAAAGACAAGTACATTTCATCTACATCTGAAGAACATGAGGAAGACAGGCAGAGTTTGGGAAGCAGTGCTGATATTGTTAACTAAAACTAGTAAAAACTGCTTTCGGTAACTGAAATAATGCTTAAACTACATAAAAATAACTAGTAAAAAAATAGCCCTAACTTAAAAATTAGAAATGCAGCTTAAACTAAACCAAAAAAAAAAAAGCTAAATAGAAATGTTTTTAAAAACTAAAACTAATAAAAATTACAGAACATAAAATTACTAATGTTAAAATGAAATATAAAAATATAAAAATAAAAGTTAATCCAAAATATCACTTACACAAACAATGAGCAATTAAATATATAAGACGTAAGAGTAAACAATTAACTTATTCAACATTTTCTAATAGCATGTATAAACATTTACTGGCCATAAATATTTTTACCGGCCATGAAACAGTGTTTTGCATAATTTCACAGAATTAATTAATTCATTCATTCATTAATAATAAAGCCACTTTTGGTAATTTAAATAAAGCTTTAAAAATATATAAATATTACATGAAGAACATAAAAACCTAACTGAAAATGACAAATGTTGCTAAAATAAAGTAAATTTAATCTGAAGTACTAAAATTAAAAACAAATTAAAGCTAAACAGAAATATAAAATTAATAATAATAAAAAAGACAAAAAACAAAATCAGTAAAACTAGTATTAAAAGTGAAAATATAAAAATTATCATTAACTCAAAATATCACAGATTTACACAAACAATGAGCAATCAAATAAAAAAAAAATAAATAAAAAAATATATATATATAAAAAAAAAATTGGTGAAGTACTAAAATTACTAAAACTGAATAGAAATATAAAAGCAATTTCTAAAATTAAAATTAAAAATTTAATTGAAAAGATAAAATTAAAAGCTGATTGACAATATTAAGAAATACTACAAAGGAATATAAATAAGGCTAAAATAGCACTGTCACACACATATTTCTCACCTAAAGGAAAGGTGTAAGCGTCGTTCTGATCTGGCACATCTTCTGCAGGCTGAACACAACAAAAGACAAGAGGATCGACTTTGCTATTATACTGTGCATGACTTAAAGCAGTGGTCGCCAACCCGTCCATCGCGATCGACTGGTAGATCTTTATCACTGTCCCAGTAGAAAACGTGTATTTTACCCCCGGAATGTGATTTTTACAGGGGAACCCCCCTCGATTGGACTAGTTTTATTGCGAAAACCTGGCAACCCAGTTCATAGGCGCCACCTGCTGTCAGAGAGTGCGTCTCATTCAGACCTGCTGTTGCTTTATGTAGCAAATAAATAAATAACACCTAAAGTCAGACCATTCTGTTTTTGTTTTAAATCCTGAAATTAATCTAAATCAAATCAAAATGGTGGTGGATGAGGAGATACCCCCTGACAATGTAACGCGCTTTGAGTGCCTAGAAAAGCGCTATATAAATGTAAAGAATTATTATTATTATTATTACAACGGCCCGTGCAGATCGTGATTAAAATGCAGTGGTTGCCTCTAATTTCAAATGGCTAGATATTTTTGTTTAAAGCCAGTTTGTTTGTTATAAAGCAATAGCCAATAAATAAATTTGCTTAAAAATCAGTATCAGAATCCAATCTGCTAGTTAAAAAAAAAGAAAGAAAGAAAGAAAAGAAAATCTGAATTCTGAATCCGCTATGATCGGCGCATCACTAATTAAAATACTAAGTAAGAGGCCTCAAATTTGAAGCACAATCTGGGATGTCTTTTTCTATCGATTCTTCAATAGGTAGATCTTGTCTTTCATAAAGGCCGAGGTCAGGGATCTTGGGCCTAAAAAGGTTGGTGACCACCGACTTAAAGGAATAGTTCATCAAAAATACATAAACAGAGTTTTGGGATCCAGAGACGTCTGTACCTCCTCCGGAGGAATGATGGAGTCCTCTGGTCTGAAAGTGACTGCAATCTTGTCCTCTCTCCTCTTCCGTCTGAAGGACACAAAGCCAGAATATTTTTAAAAACCTCATTCGTGACCCTGCAGCACAAAAGCAGTCTTAAGTCGCTGGGGTATATTTGTAGCAATAGCCAACAATACATTGTATGGGTCAAAATTATTGATTTTTCTTTTATGACAAAAATCATTAGGATATTAAGTAAAGATTATGTTCCATGAAGATATTTTGTCAATTTCCTACCGTAAATATATCAAAACTTAATTTTTGATTAGTAATATGCATTGCTAAGAACTTCATTTGGACAACTTTAAAGATGATTTTCTCAATATTTAGATTTTTTTGCACCCTCAGATTCCAGATCTTCAAATAGTTGTATCTCAGCCAAATATTCAAGGTTCAAATTTATTATAAGCCCAAAGGGCGATTATTGGTGCAGCATAAAATTTGTAAACATCATACAAAACACACAAACAAAACAAATAACAACACAACACTCTGACAATCTCTCACAGATTTAAAAGCCTTGCAGCTTTGGGAATAAAACAATGTCTGTACCGATTGCTTTTTAGTTCAGGCATACTATACCGTATACCAGAAGGAAGCATTTTAAACTCATGGAAAAGTGGATGAGTACAATCTGCAAGAATAGTTTTAGCTTTCTGTTAAAACAAACCGTTCAAAACGATTTAATAACCCAGTCTGCTTAGTGCCGATAATCTCAATGCCTTTCAATAAATTCAGATGTTTAACATTTACATTACCAAACCAACAGCAATTGTCCTATCCTAACAAACTATACATCAATGGAGAGCTTATTTATTCAGCTTTCAGATGATGCATAAATCTCAATTTCAAGAAATGGACACTTAACCACTAAACCACTTTGGGTTTTGTGGTCCAGGGTCTGCATGCGGTCAGGTGTGTGGTTTGCAGCCGCGTCACCTCTTGATGGATGGGCTGCTTGTGCTGTTGTTCTCCGGGACAGGGTCGGTCTTTAAGAGCTGTAGTTTGGTCTCAGTGGCCCACCTCAACAGCTCCTGCAGCGGGATGAGACGAGCTGTTCGTACCGGAGCCGTGCTGAAGCGCTGAACCTGCACAAACACACATGAACGCACCACAAAATCAATGTGATTTGATCAAAATCTCACGTGCATCACAGCTCTTCTGCTGACAATCACTAACCAAGTGCGCAGATTAATGCAGACTCATATCACTGAATGTGTCACACTTATAGATATGAATATTACAGTGAAGTGTAATTATGCCTGTTATGCTACTAAATCAGCAAAAACTTCAGCTGCAGTTGTGTGTTGTCTTATTGTCGAGTCAAAAGGAACATTTTTCAAAAGGAACATGTATCTATATAGTGTTTTTAGATGAAAATTAATCATTTAATGTTTAATCACACTATTATTGATATTCCTATTTTTATATTATGTGTTAAAGTGTTTTTGAAATCATATATATATTTATAAGGATACATTTAACCTTAAATAAAGAATGGAAAGAACAGTCTGGTGTTTGAG